TGTGTGTACCAAATTGTCACTCAGGCCCATATAAAGTGACGACCAGTATTAAAACATTTATTTATTGTCACTATACCGTTCGTTCTCTACATGGCTGAATTATCTACAAATAACAGTATGCACTGAATATAAAATACGCTTAAAGCTTTACCAGGATAAGCAACAAGATGAAGTTATGTTCAAAAATGAAATTGTATGATACGATCTGACCAGGTGGGTCTAAAAGTCAAAAATCATTTTTCAAAAACATGTGCCTTTTTAAAAAGTCACTGTTTCGGATACTCAGACAAGTGGTATTCATTACTTCTGTTCTAATAACTCCAGAGGAAGGCTTTAACATTTCTTCAAGTCAAGTCTTGGCTCACAAAACTCCAATCTCTAGCAGAAACAAACTACAACTGATGGATAAAACTGATTTGTAATGCAAGCCACGGTGTGGCAATAAAGTAGAGAGGAAAGAAATGCAGACTCTAAAGTCCTAACATGCAGGGCTATTCTAGAAGGACAGCTTTTCAGAGTCAACATTAGGAGTACGTAGGGATGAGGCTCCAAAGAAGAGCAGCTATGCTGAAGATTGTACAGTTTTATTAAAACCAGAAGCAAACCAGACCATGTGAGTATTTTAATTTTTATAAAAGTGAAGCATTTCTTTTAAAATGCTACTCTCTTTCACTAAGGCCGGCAAAGAAGCTTAATTAATTCTTGAGACGTTAACTACCCTAAAGGCAAATCTGAAGTGATATTTACTTGTAAGTATAAATTGGAATGACATTTGAGGAGGGACACAATGAAAATATTCAGCAGAGGCCTAACATGTACCCTCACTGACTAAGCAATTCCAGTCTTAGCAACTGAAAAAATGGGTAATGAAATAGATAAAAGGAAATTTCTTGTAGTATTGTTCATAATACCAAAAATTGAAAACTGGAAAAGAGCCTGAATATATAGTAACATGGTCAAGTAAGCCTGTTCTTAACCACATGATGGAATATCACACAAGATAAAATATTAAAATTATATAAAAATTATGCAAGCAGAAGTAGTCCCTATATATTTCTGAAGGGAAAAAATGAGATAGAAAATCAGACATTTTATTTTTGTTTAAAACAGGCATGTACAGCCGGGCAGCAGTGGTGCTCACCTTTAATCCCAGCACTTGGGAGGCAGAGGCAGGCGGATCTCTGTGAGTTCAAGGCCAACCTTGTCTACAAAGTGAGATCCAGGACAGGCACCAACACTACAGAGAAAAAGCCTGTCTTGAAACACAAAACAAAACAAAACAAACAAAAAACCATGCATGTACAAGTATGTCTGGAAGAGGCTAAATTTATTTATTTATACACACACACACACACACACACACAATGTAAATACATTTTTATACATTCCACAGACTGTCATATAAATTAGTATATATAGTATTTATCTTTGAGTTCGAGATTTAGATGCTCTTTATTTACTTCTTTGAAGGGCATATCACTTACTTTTCTATAGTAAATATTCTTACTTCTGTAATAATCATTAAAGTACTGATTTGACATAATCATGCAACGTTAGGATATTTGAATTCTTATGATATGGAAGGCTGTATATACTAAAGAGGAACGTGTTATAGCAAAGAGATGAAGAGAAAGAAGAAGGCAGTGGACTACCATATTAGTTATCACTTTATCATGTGTTTTTGATGTACAGTTTTAAGACAATCCTAGCAACCTGGGAAAACATTTTCAAGAGAACCTGAAAGTACACAGTGAATACCTCTAGGGTTTCTCTCACAGATTTAATATTTTCGTGGAAGAAGCAGGTGGCTTTAAAAAAAAAAAAAAAAAACCACCCACCCAAATGTCTCTCCACTGCCTTTTTAGCCACAGCTAGCTTCTTTCTACCCTTGTTTGGAGCTAATCAAGCTTTATCTAAGCAAACTCAAACTGGCATCTTGACTTCATTCGCACAGTCATATGAGTCCTCTGGCTGATGCCTCCCGCCATGTGTCTAAATCATTTATGAAATCCATGCTTGAAGCAGGTCCTACAGCAGCACGACTCTGATGTGTGGGACTAAGAAATACAGTGCCACAGAGACCACTCCACCTGCTAACTCTGAATCTGGTGCCACCACTGCCACTGAAACCAGTGGCTGTCAGACCAAAGGAAAAATTCTGGTAATTTTGAGTGAGAAGTTTCTATCATGCACTTCAGCTTCGTCTACCAATAACACATTTTAAGTGCCTTCCTAGACAGTGAAGTCTGGTAATAATTATCAAACACCATACACACTGTTTACAATAGAATCCTATTTCTTTTCTTTCTTTCCCCCTCCTGCTTTTTTTTTTTTTTATGAAAAATAGAATGCTGCTGCTGAATGGTACCCACATGCCTGCTGTATACCATGCCAACACAGCAGCTCAGCCAAAAATGTGAAGAGAATGGTTTGCCAAGGAAAAGAAAACATAACAAATTGGTAATGGTTTCTATCTTGACAGAAACTGAAAATGATCCCTCAATGTGTGGCCACTCATGTGGACACATAAAAATGTCTTAGAAGCAATCATTTTACCTCAGATAACAGACCCTGACAGTGCCATACAGCATACTGGCTGACTTTCACGTCTCAAAAAAGTGGCAACCATGACCTACAAAACAGTCTGGGAACCATGTAATTTATGCATAACACACATGCACATGCCATGCACTCCTAACATTTGCTATAACTCATTTTGAATATGAGACCCCCCTTTTCTGGGTAGAATTTACGTTTATGAGGGAGAAGCTAAATCATCAGAGACCCAGTGAAGCTGAGTTGGCCGCTCTGTGAACAGAAGTGATGCAGTTCTTATAAAGCTACAGAATTCCATGGTCTGAAGCACAATGCAAAGGCCTTACATAAGGACATAGTGCATTCTAGAGGGTTCTGCATAGTGCTGTCATCACTAGAGATATTCTTGTTAAGATGCTACATTAAGCAAATACCAAAAATATCCTGGAGGTACATGACATACAGATTTGATTTTCTGCTTAGAAGATGACCACTGGAAGGAAAAAATGAATCCCCGAGACTGGCTGATGACCACTTGAACTTATCTCCCTTCCTTCACCATGTTTTTTCTTCTTTCCTTTACCACACTTTTTTCCTTCAGATGGAGAACCAGCCATCATCACAGACCGCTGACCCCCCTCCCCTGCCCCCATTTAAGGGAATTTTCTTCTTTAACTTTCTAATGAGGAGATTAGATGGAACATTGATTATATGGTCAAATCCTTTAAAAAATAAGAGTGACCCTTTGGAAACACATAATTGGTATCTGAAGATAAAGAGGAATTCAGGACGAGGAAATACTGAACCAAAGGCCTAGGAAGAACCTTAGGAAGTTAACTGATCTTACCAAGTTGAAGGTAAATCTGAATCCTGTGGGTTATGAGTTTTGAATGAAATTTCTGGGGTTTGAATTTGATGGTGATTTTTCTGTTTAATAAAAAGTGCTTAGATGGCTTACACAACGGTTAGAAAAAGTTAATGGACATCAAGCTGCTCTTACAAAATGCCCATCTTGATGAGTTAAGTGTAAATGAATCAGAAACACATGGGTCCTATTTCCTTAAAAAATGCATAGATTCAAAAATAAGGGGAAGAGGACTTGGCAAAGTGTGTGTGTGTGTGTGTGTGCGCGCGCGCACGCGTGTGTGTTAGCTGACCCCCAAATAAATATTTGAAAGATATTTTGAGACACAGAAAGAATTCAAAATAAAACTAACCCTGTGGAGTTACATAAAAACGGAATGTTCTTCTATGCACTTGTCTCTATGGGTCAACACTCATGGAGCCTTTGCACAGAAGTACAGGAGTAGCCAGCTTCTGCCTTCAAGCAACTTTGAATTTGGGTATAAACAGTATATAAATACTGAAAACTGGTTACAAGAGATCAAGGATTTTATAAAGCTTGGCATCATAACCCAGATCCTACGGAAACTATAAATTAATGGAGAACTATATAGAAATTTTTCAGGGCCCTGGAGTAGGTAGGCTTCATTCCATCCAAGCCATTCTCATGGAGTCCTATTGGCTAAAGTTACATTCAGTTGCAGAGTTTTACTTGTTTAAATGTTTTTTTAATAAGTGTTTTTATGTCTTTTTAAATGTGTGTCCAGCCTCTTTCCTCCACCCACTAGATTTGTGAGTGCTCCACAAATCTTGCTGACTGCTTTCCTGGAGGATGGGAGTGTTGAACAGTTTTGAAATAGGGGAGATACTGTTGGCAGGGCACATTGGGCCATGATTCTAGGTTAGGGTAATGGCACACGTGATGGTTCAGAGACTCCAGAGGGTGAGTCATGCGTGTGGGGGGTACTATACTGGTTGGCTTGTTTCAAATGTGCCTAAGCCAGTCTTGTGGGAGGTGGAGGCAGTTAGGTGTGGGGAGGTCTAATATACTGCATGTGAAGTCAACTTGAGGACAGGGGTGTGATAAGGGAAGACACGGTCTGACTGCTTTTGGTCTTTGCTTATACCTTCTTCCCCAGAATAAGATCGAGTTCTAAGCACAGAGCATATACATGTCTTTTCTTTAAGAGTTGAAAAGTATCTAAAGATAAAATTAATCATGCACATGTTCCTAGGATCCTGTAGATTAACTTGAACAGGAAGTTGGAGGGAGTATAGTACTAAAATAGATGACTGAATTCTAAAATGTTTGTGGGAAAGTATAAGAATATATTGATTTACTATCTTTTAAGGTTGTTTCCTGGCTGTCTAACATAAATCTTATCTTTTTTATAATTTTAAAATGACTTAGGGCATCACATCTTTCTTAGACACTTTTTTCCTGGCTCACAGAAAACTGACATTAAGTGAATGATTGGTGAGTTCAGTTATTTCACTCGGCAACTGACATGGAGTAAAAGGGTGAGGAGGCCTACAGTGCTGAGGGTGAAGTTTGAAATGTCCCAGTGTCTTCTTTCTGAGCCACTTGTGCAGGGTCAATACAAAGAAGCCCAAGTCCTTACCATCCTTCATCATCTTCCACCTCTGCTTCAGGAACGCTGTCCTCAGGCGTTTCAGTAATTGCTTGGCTGAGCTTAGATTTAAACTGGCTGAGCAGTGCCAGGGTCTGAAATGACAAGAGATGCTATGCTGGTGATAAAGGTCATCCCAAGAGAGACACTGGTAGAAAAGAAAATAGCCTACTGGGATGTCAGACACAGGTAAATGCTGGCCTTTTTTTAAAAAAAAAAAAGTAATAAAACTGCTTTCCAGCTATAGTGGCGGCCTTAGTAATCCAACACTGTCCTGCTTGGATCTGCACTGGCATCTTCCCTTAGAGACATTTCAGTCTTTTCTATCCCAGGACTTAAATGTGCTCACACAGGAGACATTCTAACTCTGGAAACTACATGCTCATTGACAAGTTTTTAGCGCTTTCCCAACAGAAGAGCAAGACACCAGCATATGCTGAATCAAATACAAGATGTGAAAACATCCACACTAGGGAGGTAGAATGAATAAACCCATCAATTGGTGGACTATGGGTAAAGTGAAATAACATTTTAAGAAAACTCTTGACATGTCTTAGAAACTAAAGTGAGCATTCCCTCTAATTCAGCAACTTCAACCTGGGAACACACTTAAAAAAAATCGGATGCCAGAAAATGGCTTTTGTAGTAATATTCATCTACACGGAATATGAATGCTATTTAGAGAAAGAGTATTTCTCAATAGGCATTTTTTTAAAAAGGAAAAGAACATTACTTTAGATTCTTAGTTTTCTCTTAGCCTTTGTGGACAAGAAGCAACAAATGGCTACACTTTTCTAATCACATCTCCTGGCTGTAGTTAACAGTCTTCTAGGATATGAGCAGAAAATATGGGCTAGTAATCAAAGTTTTCCACTCTAGGTTTTAAAGAGTTCTTCTTTGTGAGGATGAGGGATGGAGCCTAACCTGTCTGAAAAATCAAGGGCCTAATAACAAGTTTGGTATTTTAATTCAATTTTAAATTCCTCATTCTTCAAGGGATGTGTGAAGCTAGTGTGCAGCATATGAGTGACGGGAATCGGAGACAGGAGAGAACTTAGCTCCATACTCAATCTTGAGATCATTAAGATTATAGTTCAAGAAACAATGAAGTGGTATTACAGTCTAGTTCAATAAAGGTATCAAAATACTTGCAAGAAACATGGCAGCTATTGCTAAAAAAGGTAGCGAAAAGTATATGACTTTATAAAATACTCAATTCCCACATGGGCAAGAATGGAAAATATACACATTACCATGGTTGCGACATGAGAGAAATTGGTAAAATGTGTACATTTCAACAAAATATTATCCCAGGCAACCTGAAGGCCGTCTGTGTTAGGACTTGGGCATTTTTATCTGCTTTTAGAGTAGATATTCTAGAATTAAGATCTTCAAATAATGTTAACATTCCTTGTTTTTAATTTAAATTCGACTCAGTAAAAACACAAAACACTGTATTGACTATAACTTTTCTTGTGTTTAATTTATAGTAAGAAAAAAAGATTACTTCAGAGATTTTTGAAAAACAGAAATACTCAGAATAGCCAGTGTTAACAGTTTTGGTAAATGTCATTCACGACTGTGTGCATACATGCTTGTTTATGTTTTAAACATGAATATCTCTGTATATGCATCTCCATATCTAATCTGAATCGTAAAAGTAGGCCGTATGAAGTTTTAAGGTGATCTCTTGTATAATAGGAAATATATAATCATTTTAAAGACTTATTTTTATTTTTAATTATGTGTGTATCTGTGTACACACACAGTGTATGTCATTTGTGTGTGGGTGCACATAGAGGCCAGAGGCATTGGGTCTCCTTGAAGCTGGCATCACAGGCAGTTGTGAGTGACTCAACATGGACTCTGAACTCAGGCCTTCTGCAAGAGCAGTATGTGCTCCAGCCTGCAAATATATGTTTTGAGGAAATAAAGAACAATAAAAACAAGGAACAAGAATTTCTTAGTGGAACAAAAATGTAAAATTATGCTAGATGTGGATCTTTCCCCCTGAGTTAGAGTGGAAAGGTGGTTCATTTTTAGGGCCAGTTATCATGCTACTGACATTTTCTTAAAACGATTAAAAACAAACAAAGATCTCCTTGCTCATTCTGAGCTTCTTCATTTAAGATCATCAGGTTTTGTCTAGGTACAGCCTAAAGTAACAGATGCAGGTCAGAAGATATGACACTGCATTTCTGGGGCACACTGTAGGTGATGATAGCACCCACAATGGAGGCATTTCTGGTTGGCTTGCTGGGCAATGACTCAGTATGCTGGCCTTTATTAAAGGAATATCTATAACAAGTCTTCTCGGTGACAGCTCTGCTTCCAGGCTGCTCTTGACTGTTTTGAGACTGGGATAGATGGTCCCAGAGTACAGACAATACCATGTTACTTTCTGCTAGCGATGCTTCCTTACTGCACAGACTAAATCTAAATCCTTAACAGGATTCCAACGAGAACACTCCTGATGACTTTTCCTCTCTCAGTTTTGTCTTCTAGTTGGGTTAGCCATACTTAGCATCCTTCCTCTTTGAGCGAGGGTGAAGACTTTTCATACAAACTCCTCACACACTGATCCTTCTGCCTTACCACATACTGTTTCTATTTCTCCTGGGTCTCCGGGCTGATGTATAAACTCGGAAAGATCCTTTTCTCAGAGAGACCTTCCGAGCTCTCTGGTCATGTGCAGAGCCTGCTGTCACCACTGATACAGTTCCTGGCAACAATGCTCACAGCCTTTTGTTGGTATTACTCACTCAATCTTTTCCTGGATAGTTCAGAGAAGTCAGAGAGCTAGCTACCTACTTGTGGAGATACACTAAAAGTAGAGATTAGGTTCTTAACAGTTATTTGCTTTAAGGCTGGGGTGGGGTGGGGAACTACGACAAATGTAGTGGCTATACAGAAACTTTATGACTCCATGAGAACAAGTTAATAATGCGTTTTTTCTTAATTTCATTCGGTGTATCATTTCTTTTGAAAACTGCATATGTTAGTACTCTCTAATTAAAATCTCCAACACCAGATTTCTTGTTGAACTCTCTCTATGATTATTTCCATGTTAACTATCAGGATCATGATCCTTTATTACCAGTACTTAAATGTCATTTATAACACAGCTTCTGATTAGATTAACTTAACCAAATAGGTTTTGAATTTTAATATGCTTTTATTTTGCTTGTTTTATTTATATCTCTAAAATAGTATATGCTCATATGTGCAAGGTAACACTAAAAATCTATTTTAGATACTCCCCTTAAGATTTTAAAATTTCATGTGTATGAGTATTTGGCGTGCATGTATGTATGTGTACTATGCGCATGCCTAGTGCCGAAGGAGGCCAACAGAGGGTGCTGGATCCCTTGGAACTGGAGTTACAGACAACTGGAGTTACGAATGGCTGTGAGTCATCATGCAGGTTCTAGAAACTAAATCCTGCTCCTCTGTAAGAGCAGCAAGGGCTCTTAACCGCTGAGGCAACTCCACCTCCAGCCTCAAACCTTTTCAGTGTAAAGGGCAATGGGAAGATTTGTTTTTATTAAGTGCCATACCACCTGGCCAGCTGGCCAGCTTATTCTATCTCTTCTCAGCTCCTAACTTTTTCACATTACTACTTTAAAAACATTGGGAAATTTTCTTGCAACAAATAGGGAAATCAGTGGAAATCAATTTACGGACCGAACCCTGTAATCTTAGGCAGTGTGCTATTTCATGTCCAGCATGGGGCACACTGGGCTAGAGGAGGTCCTCGAACTGTCTGGAGCCATTGCTGCTCCATGGACTGCAGGAGGCAGACTCACTGCATTTCTGAAAACATGGGGCTTTATGAAGCTCTTGTATTTGACATGAGCAGACCAGTTGAAATTTCAACGTTTCAAGGATTTTTCACATAAGTATCTGAGAAGAACTTTAACATTTGGATCCCTATGAGTGGTCAAGGTCATTGCATTCCACCCCGTACATTTTCTCCTTCAGGGCTTTCCTGGACACATAATCATATTACAGCATCACTGGAAGAGAGTAAAGATAAGCATTGAACTACACATGGACTTTGGTTCTGAAGTTACCTGATCTTCCCGGGAAGTTCCCTTCTTCGGCTGCTGCTTCCTCAGAGCTTCGTACTTTTGCTTTTCTCGCCTATATTCTGCAACAGCGCCATCTGGGGCAGCTTCTTCCTCTGCAGAACAGGAGCATATACTCAGTGCGGCTCAATTAGGTCTCATTTTTCCCCATTAATTAAAACAAAACCAAAATGAAAAAACAAAAAAACAACAATCCAACGTGATCCCCCAAAATCTATTATTTTTTTCAGCTACAAAGTGACCTGCATTAAATTTGCTAGATTTTGCAGTTTTTCCTATACTATACTACTTTGTTTTTCTTTTATATACTCACTTAAGGCTGACTGTAAAATAATTTATCTCACTTGAAAAATAATTTAGATTTTTCTAAAATTCAGCAGTACTACTTTACATTGTTTCTTTCCTTATGATATGCATTTCCAAATATTGGTTGATGTTTCAATTATTCACCAACTTTGCTCCTCCCACAGTTAAAATAACAAAAGCGAACTTCAGCTTGATGGAAAATAGAAAATAAATACGCCTGCAAATTAAGTCAAGACAGCAGAAGGAGAAAAAAAAGTAAGTTTTACTAAGTCAGAATTTGGACAACCAATCTACACACTCCAGCACCACAATGAACAAATGAAACAAACAAACACCATATAGCAATAGTGTCAGAAACACACATGCTTAGTAAACACGTGTGAGGAGAGGATCCCTAGATGTGCCGTACATAAAATGATTTTCATAATCGATTTTCAAAGATTACTTTCACATTTCCCCCTTGAATTACAGTTTCGATTCTCAGTCTTCTTATTGTCCCATCACAGCTGCACTTGCACCATCCTGGGATCTAGCACCTTGATGCCTTTAAGATCCTTATATGAGGCAGTCAAGGCTTTCTCTCTCTCTCTCACACACACACACACACACACACACACACACACACACACACACACACACACACACACACACACTATCCTCCCAACCCCCCATGGTGCTGGGGCTCAACTATGGGGCTTTATACCTGCTCAGCACATGCTCTACCGATGAGCTACACACATTCCGGCCCTGATGCACTCCTTCCTAGATCCATCTCTCACTTCTTTGCCCTGTCCACCTCAAAGTGTTTTCCTTCACTGTCCATTCCTCTTGAAACTCACCCTACTCTCGACTCCCTACCTTTTGTTGTTTTTTCTTTAAGGAATACTAAGAACATTCCATCTCTCCATTCCCCAATTACATTTCCAGCCTAATTCCTGCTCATTCTGTAGGTCTCAGCCAGGCTGGCACTTGGTCCCGGCACCCTTCTGGGTGCAGTCATTGATTCTGGTCTGGAGGTTCCTCAGAGCTTCTAGACTGACTCTTAGCACTTATCAGACTTTATGGTAATTTATTGTTTACTCTTCTTTTCCTACTAAGGGACATTAAAATCCTTGAGGGAAAGTCATCTTTTCCCATCACTTAGAGCAGAGCTTGGCAAGTGATACATGTTGATAACTAACGAAGTAAGTAAAAATGAAACTTTAGAGGGGGAAAATGAACAGGCCGTGGGTCAGTCTGATCCCCAGGCTGCAGCATAACTATCATGGCTCTGGATCTGTCATGTTAGGGAGTCAGTTATATTCATATTCTGCTGTTTTGTAAAATTCTAATGCTAACAAATATCTTCAGAACTAGCTAGTGTTAAAAACAAAAGACAGGTCTCCTAAGATCTTCAGGTACAAGAGACTGAAAGCCTTTTTTTTTTTTTTTTTTTTTTTTTTTTTTTTTTTGTGGCAAGAACTTTAAAATAAAAGGGAATATTGATAGATGTGTTGAGCTACCATTGCCACTGCTAAGTTAAGTTAATATTCAACCACGCTTATTTTAATGATTCTAACATGCATTCCTTTATGAATGACCTCTGTTAGTAAGGGTTAGTCTCTTGATTTCACTTTTAAGGAGTGTTTACAAAGTAGACTTTAAAAACATTGAAATAAGGAAGGTCTTACCCTATAGCCCAGGCTGCCCTCAAATGTTAAGATCCTCCTGCTTCAGCCTCTCCAGGGGCTGCAATTACAGAGGCTTGCTACTGCGCCCAGCTTCAGTAAATATAGTCTTTAAATTGTGCAACAAGGAAGCCTTCTAAATCAAAATTTAAAAGCCAGCAATAGATAAATTTAGGCATATAATAAAGCATGAAAATTCTCCAGCTGTGCTGGCTAGAGTAAAAGCCTTCAAATAATTTATAGAGTAGTACTAGCTTCATCTTGGAAGCCAGTAATGACAAAAGTTCTAAAGGAGCTATATTGAGGGATACTTTAGATACAGTGAAATTCATTTGGGGTATAAAATATAACCACTCTGGTATTGTGTGTAATGTGTTTTTCTACTCTCTCTCTCTTTTGTGAGCTATCTATGAATTATTTACTCACTCCAAGATCACAGAAGTTCTTTTCCCCGATGTTTTTTCTTTAAAGTATACATACTTTCATACTTAAAAGTAAGAAAATTTTACTCTGTTAATGATTTTGATCATCATTCAAGGTATATTATCACTCTTGCTTGAGTGGGGCTGATCTGTACATTCTCCCTACTCCTGTCATTATGAAAACCATTTATTCTGATCAAGGGAAACACATGTTACTTTGAGCAGAGTCTAAAGCTACCCAGAGTCTGACTGTGATAAGGATCCCTGAGTAGGTATGCTTTTAGATATGGAAATAGTTCAGTTTCACTCTTTCTCTGCATTTTCCATTTTTAAATTACAGGGAAAAGTAAAGGTAACTTTAATGAATCACTTTATCCCCTCCATATTTATCCAACTATATCTTTATATATTTCCTAGTCATGATAATGAAAATACAGGCATGTAGTACAGCTATAACTGAACACATTGCCCTGATAATATCTGAATATTGTAAAACTCAGTCATCCTTCCTAAAAGTATGTTCATACCTACTTTCACCAAAGTGTTGTATAATGTAACTGGTGGTATTAATGGCAAGCATCTAAAAAGTGAGTGAGTAACATTAAAAAATGTTAAGGAAAAGTTGGATAAAACTGTGGGACTTTTCATCATTACTCCAGATCAAACAACAACTATCGTTATCTCCACGCTCTCTCTTTGGGGGTTTGAGTGTAGTCTTTAGTACTTCTTGTACTTATCCCCCCCTGTAACTACATCCATTCTCAGGAAAGCTCTAGGTCAAAAGGTCTCAAGAGGCACACTGAAACTGCGCAGAATTCTAGACTACCACCTATCCTCCATCGCTAAAGCAAATGGCATCCAACACAGTCCTGGACTGTAATCTTATCTTGACTACAGCTTTTGGCTTCCAAAGAGGGAAACTATAAAAATGAGACTTTTAACTCTCTAGTCACAAGTAAAAGCATTTTGACTTTAATATAACTGACTGGATTTTGTAATGAAAACTAAGAATGTGAATGCTTGGGACCTTGCGGTTAAATAGGTAAATCACAGACTGCAACCTAATGCAGCTGTAAATGCTCCCCACCCCTTAGAATGTTCTAGAAGGACCCACAGATTCTTCGGTGTCACAGAAGTTACATTTTTCAGCTGTAACTACCTTTGGGCTTGATTACTTGAGTGCATTATGGAGGTTCTTAGTGCTTAATTGTGTTTATTGGTCATTTACTCCAATTTAATTTGTGTTTTTAATGATATGCTCAATATACTCAATAGAGGTAAGAAAATGCCAGAGATCCACAGCCAAACACCAGGCCGAGCTCCAGGAATTCAGTTGAAGAGAGAGAAGAGGGATTCTATGAGCAAGGGCATCAAGATCATGATGGGGAAAACTACAGAGACAACCAAACCAAACTAGTGGGAACTCATGAACTTTAGACCAACAACTGTAGAGCCTGCATGGGACTAGACTAGGCCCTCTGCATATCGAGACAGTTGTGTAGCATGATCTGCTTAAGGGGGCCCCTGGTAGTAGGATCAGAATCCATCTTTGGTGCATGAACAGGCTCTTTACAGCCCACTTCTATGATGGGATACCTTGAACAGCCTTGAGGCAGGGGGAGGGGCTTGGACCTGCCTCTACTAAAGGTTCCTCCCCATGTTCCCATGGCCTTACCTTCTTGTAGGAGGGAATGGGGAGTAAGTTGGGAGGGGGAGGCTGGAGGGTCAGGAGAGGGAAGAGGGGGACCTTTGGTATGTAAAATGAATAAATTGTTTTCTTAATAAAAAAAGGGGGGAATGTCTATTTAGTTATGAGAGAAATCTTTAATTAAATGAAAACAGATTCTAATAAATCATTTCTAATAGAAAAAAGATGTAAGAAAGTGCCCCACTGCTTTCTATTTACAGTAGACTAGTAAGAAATGAGAACACAGATGCATTGCCTGAATTTGGGGATAGGGCAAGACAGACGGCTGGGTCCGGCAGATTGTTTTAAGGGTGGTCTTGCTAATCTGCTTATTTCCAGAACAGACAATTTTAGCAGTGAAATGTGCTGAACTGTGGCTCAGTCTGATCTTATCCTGTGATAATTTTCTCACACAGTTATAAAAAAAGGCTGATGTGTTTCACAGTACTTATGAAGGGAACTTGATGCTGCTTTGTGTTTGTACGCCTGCAGGTAGGGTTAAATTTTGTTTATTATTACTTTTACTTTTATATGTATGAGCATTTTGCCTGCATGTATGTCTGTGTACCACCGTGTGCCTCACACCCATGGAGAGCATCAGATCCCCTGGAACTAGAATTACAGACAGTTTTGAGCAGCCATGTGGATGTGCTAGGAATTGATCACAGGTCCTTTGGAAGAGCAGCTAGTGATCTTAACCACTGAACAATCTCTCCAGAAATGGATGAGTTGTTTTGATTCACCTCCAAGTAATTAAAATACAATATATGATTAAATGTTATTTACTAAGATACATTGATGGGATAAAAGAGAAAGAATGTATCTTATAGAAATGGTATTTTCTTCTAAAAATTTAAAAGATTTTCTAAACTAAAGTTTGTAAAAAATCATTTCAGTTACAGCTGAAAATTACCTACATATCTCCCTAAAGTAATATTTAAAATCTTTAGTTCTTATTAAAGCAATTTTCCTGTCAAAATTAATATTTGCAACTGTTTCACAGTAAATAAGCC